AACATTATTTTTATTTCACAATATGGTATTTGTCAACCTTGAATTTTTTACTGCATATTGGACTATTTTCTCATTTTATTTGCTTAATTCAGGATCTCTTCTTAAGGGTCTGGTTAAAAAAAAAAAAAAAAAAAAAAAAAAAAAAAAAAAAAAAAAAAAAAGAATCCACACAGCAGGCCTGAGAATACTCTTCAGAATGCAAGGTTGCTGGTGTCTGGGCATGCAGTTTTGGTGAGATGCCCACCATTTCCTGCTAAGAGTGGCTTGCTATGACTCAACTGTTTGTACAAACAAACCCAGCTCATGCTGAACAGCAGCTTTCTTTCTGGGAGTCGGGAATTTGGGTGCCTGGCCAGCAGAGCAAGCCTGTGCAGCTGTGCACTAAAATCCCAGAGCTGAGTCTCTGCGGGCTCCCAGTCAGAAAGCATCTCCACACATTGTCCCGACTTGTTGGGGGACATTGTGTGAGCATGAATCCAAGAGGACTCTGAAAGCTCGCACCTGGCTTCTTTTAAACTTCACCCTCATGACCTTCTTCCTTTAGCTGGCTGTGATTTCAATCTAAGTCCCCTCAGATATCCTGAGTTCTGAGACCTTCCAGCAAACTGCATCTCTAATGCAGCCCTCGAATTTGTATAAGTGTTAGGCCCCATGATGGTTAATTTTGATTGCCAACTTGATTGGATTAAGAAAATCCTAGATTCGGGGCTAGAAAGATGATATTTAAAAAGTACTTGCTGCTCTTGTAGACAACCAGAGTTCAGTTCCCAGCAACCCATGTTTGGTGGTCACTACTGCCTGTAACTGGAGTTCCAGGAGATCCAATACCCTCTTCTGGCCTTTTGGGGCACTCTCAGACACTAGGGCATACACACACACACACACACACACACACACACACACACACACACGACAGATTAAACAAATAAGAATCCTTTTAAAAAAAAAATCAAAGTCATCAGCGAGGCACACTTTCAGGAGTGTTTCTGATGAGCATTGCCACAGAGGATTACAGAAGGAAGATTCACCCTGAAATGGGTACTCCTAGGGGCTGGGGCCCCACACCGAAAGAGAGGAAAGGAGGAAGCCAGAGGAGTACCGACAGTTTCGTTCCTCCGCTCTTCGAGCCATGTGCTCCTGCCACATGGACTCTGCTGTCTGTGCCTTCCTGCCATGGCGGACATCAGGACATCATCCTCTCAAACTGAATCAAAGTAAAGCCTCCTCCCAAATCTGCTTTTTATCAGGCATTAGATTACGGCAACAAAAAAACCCATCAGGCCCCTGAATCCCAGATCTATCCATGTGCATGTCCTACAGCTAGAGTATGGGGTCAGAGGAGCCAGAGTGTGTGTGTTTTTGGGGGGGGGGGCAGGTAGCCTCAGACCCCGAACTTGATGATGCCAAGTTGAGGTCCCTGTTCCCAAGGGGTGGAGACACTTTCACTGGGAGACGTGGTGAAGACTCTAGGGAGCTGGAAGGAGCAGCGGCCACCAACCTCCTTTTGGACTCTTTAGGCTAAAGACCAGCATCATTCTGGCATTCAAAGTTGTTGAGGCTGGCACCACCCGGTGGGGTAGAGGGCCTTTGGATTGCCTGAGGCCATTCAGTATAACCACCTGTGGTAAAGACCAACAGTACACAAGAAAAACAGGGTTGGGGATTTAGCTCGGTGGTAGAGTGCTTGCCTAGCAAGTGCAAGGCCCTGGATTCGATCCTCAGCTCCAAAAAAAGAAAAAAGAAAAACAACCCCACCCCAACAGGGAGAGCAGGTGGGAAGACCTGGGCTGCTGGACAAAGGGGCAGCTTCATCTAGATGCTGAGGGTCAAGGGCTGAAGACAGTTCAGCCAAGCTGCATCAGCAGAGGCTGACTCCTACTAACTGGAGCTCAGCTATCACACAACCATTGTGATGGGGGCGTTGTAACTGTCAGGTTTTTTTTTTTTTTTTTTTTTTTTTTTAAGATTTATTTATTTATTATGTATACAGCATGTATGACTGCAGGCCAGAAGAGGGCACCAGATCTGATTACGGATGGTTGTGAGCCACCATGTGGTTGCTGGGAATTGAACTCAGGAACTCTGGAAGAGCAGTCAGTGCTCTTAAACTCTGAGCCATCTCTCCAGCCCCGTAACTGTCAGTTTTAGGGTCCCTGTGGTAGACTATTTCTCCAACCCGACACAGTATATCCAAGCTACCTGCTTTCTTGTAGAAAAATGCTGACAGTCCTCTCATTTAGGTGTGGGGCCCATGTCCTCCACACGGGTGTGTCTTGGGAAGTCCATCTTAGAGACCCATCCATCCTCTTTTCTCAGTATCATATACGCTCAGTTCACTGTTGTAATTTCTAAGTTTGGATAGTGACATGCATTTCTTTATTACTAAACAGGGGTTGTATGCTGATGGCTGCAGGTGAAAAGGGTGAGCTCCTTGTTAATGACCATGATCACTATGAAACCAATTCCATGAGGAGGGGTGCTGGGTATGTGTGTGTGGGGGGGAAGTCTCTCTTTTCCTTCCTGTGGACACAGCATCCTTTCTATTAGAATGGACTGATAGGAAGGTTGGAATATGCAGGGCTAGAAATGTAAGACTAACAAGACTGTTAGGTCAGAGATCTACCTGCTCCAGTTCCCAGAAATCAGGCCATGCCCCCTGCAGTCTCTCTATGGACAGAGAGTTGATAAAAAAGCTGCTACAACCCTGCATCTCTCCGAGGTCTTTCCCTCCCCTTCCCAGACATAAGACAACTTGGAGTTACTGCTAGACTTCTTCATTTTGACACTTTATTGATCTGGGGGAGGGGCAGTTTATGCGCCTGCCCAGTGTGGGCATGGAGCTCATCAGATGACCACTTCCATAAGTAGTAGTTCTTTCCACCACATGGGTCCTGGTTTTCGTTGTTGTTGAGACAGGGTTTCTCTATAGAGGTCTGGCTGTCCTGGAACTCACTCTGTAGAGCAGGCTGGCTTCGAATTCACAAAAACCCTCCTGCCTCTGCCTCCTCTGCTGGGATCAAAGGCACGCGCTGGCTGGTGTGATGGACTAACTCTCCTAATCCTTCAGAACTGAATGCTCTCTTCAGTTCTGTCATGGGGCCCCTGTCATGCTATACATTACACCCATCTCTCCAGAGCACACACTTTGCTTATTCTCCCCCTTCAGGGGCTCATCACTGCTGTCTTTGACAATGATGCTGTAACTCTCCTAATATAGCTCACCTCTAGGGTAATTTCATTCGTTTTCTTTCTACAAACCTGCTGTGTCTTTTATCTATAATAAGAAAAAAAAAAAAAGTCAGGGGCCAGTGAGACAGGCCATCCGATAAAGACACTGGCCACCAAGTCTGACAACCTAAGTTCAATCTTCAGAACCCATCTAAAGGTAGAAAGAGAAAATCGGTTCCACACAGCTGTCTCTTGACTTCCATGTGTAAGAAGTATGAACACAATACCTAAGTTGTTGTTTTTTCTAACTGCCAGATGTGGTGGAGCACTGAGCATGCAGAGGCAGCAGGTTCTACGCCAGCTGGGACTACAGTAAGACCTTATCTTAAAACACACACACACACACACACACACACACACACACACACACACACACACACACACCTCACAAACAACCACCACAAAACTATTTACTCTGGGAGAGAAAAGATAACTTAGAATCCAGACTCATAAGCCCTCCACTGGGAACAGTGTCCCTTAATTATAAGCCCCTGGGACACATGAAGCAGTTTAAGAGGAAACGGTGAGAATACAACCTGCTAAATCTACCCCCATGGGTATGAAGCAGATAACAAAAACATAACTCCAAGGCAGATGTGGAGGCCCCACCTATAACCACAGCACTAGGAAGCCTCTGGTAGGAAGCCAGAAACACATAGGCCAACCTGAAATACCTAAAGACTCCAAAAAGCAACAATAACAACAAAACAACCTGAGATACATATCAAGATTCCAAAAAGCAACAACAAACCCTCAGGACTATTTTGGATTTCACATTTTCTGAGTGAAAACCCAAAAGTGTATACTAAACAATCCTATCTTAAAAAACACCTAGAGCTCCAAAAGCTACCACACAGCTATACAGCTGCAGGTACATTTGTGGGCATTTGTGGGTACATATCGCTTGCATTGATGCGATAGAGAACACTTGCTGGGCACGGTGAGGGAGGGAAAGTTACGGATTTAATCAAGCAAATGAAAAAAAAAAAACTAGGAAAATAATCACGGGTGTTAAATAAATAAATAAATAAATAAATAAATAAATAAATAAATAAATAAATAAATAAATAAATAAAATAAAATAAAATAAAATCATGCTTGGCCGGGCTGTGGTGGCGCACGCCTTTGGTTCCAGCACAGCACTCGGGAGGCAGATGCAGGTGGCTCTCTGAGTTGGAGGCCAGTCTGGTCTACAGAGTGAGTTTCAGGACAGCCAGGGCTACACAGAGAAATCTTGTCTCAAAAACAGACCCCCCCAAAAAACAAACAAACAAACAAAACTGGTGACCACAACTGGTCACTGTAAAAACTACACGAGCAAAAAGACAAAAAAAAAAAAAAAAAAAATGGAGAGAGGACCCAGGTTCGATTCCTCCATCTCACAGCAGCCTGTAACTCCTGTCCCAGGGGATCTAATGCCCTCTTCTGACCTCTACAAGACGAGGCACATACGTGGAGAACAGATATAAATGCAAGTAAAACATCCATACAATAAAAATGAAGATACGTAATTAAAAAATAATAAGGCCAAAAAATGTCTCCACTGGGACGAGAGCCTCCAACAAAGCGAACACTCCGGAAGGAGAAGCCCGTCTTCAGGGCCTTCCTCCTTCACCGACCCCGGAAGAACTGCAAAAAAACAACCCGGCTCCGGCCTTCGGTGTCCCGGCCCAGAACGGCCTAACCCTACATTGAAGAAGCCGAGGACGCCGCGAGCCGTAATTCCATCGGACCGGAAAGGGAATAGTCCACCGGAAGCTGTAGTTCACCGAAGCCGTAAGTCGTGGGAGGCCCGGGTCACAGAGTGTCGTGCTCTCGGAGGCGGGGCGAAGAGCGCACACCATGGCCGGGCTGGAGCTCCTGTCGGATCAGGGTTACCGGGTAGACGGTCGGCGCGCGGGGGAGCTGCGCAAGATCCAAGCGCGCATGGGCGTGTTCGCGCAGGCCGACGGCTCGGCGTACATCGAGCAGGGCAACACCAAGGCGTTGGCGGTGGTCTACGGGCCCCACGAGGCGAGTAAGCGGCCCGGCGCGGGGCTCGGGGCTGCACGTCGCTAGAGTAGACCTCAACCTTCCGGCTTAATCCCAACCCCCAGGGGGGCCCCCATCATCTCCGAGGTGCCTCAGCCGGCCTGGAGAAGCTCCGCTCACCCCCTCTTCTCTCAGCTCATTATCTGACATCTTGGCGGGAAGACGCCTCCCAGGCCACTACATCACTCTCCTTGCCTCTCTGCACTTACTAACTGCATTCGATTTTTACTGAGCCTTCCGCCTCGCTTGTTTCTCTCCTGGAACATAAACTCCCAAGACGGGGACTCTCGATGAAATTGTCTGCCTTTATTGCTGTGTCTCAGTGCTGTATGAAGGCCAGCAAAACACGCACACTTTACAGTTTGCTTAGCATATGAGAGCTCAGCTTTCTAGGCGGAAAGTAGGATGACAGTCAGGTACAGAACACATTAGGGCCGACGATTGGTAGGTAGAGCGGCAATAGATCAAAGCTGAGGGGTTACCAAGGGGGTGAGGACCCAGGGCTTTGAAGGTCAGGGACATTGAGATTTTCTTTTACATGTAATGGGAAGCCTCTGGAAGGTAAGTGAAATGTTAGTGGGTAGGGGACACGGATCAGATGTTTGTAAATGCAGTGGCCACAATGGGAATAATTTGGGAGGAAATGGAGCGACTGTAGAACAGAGTAGCCTGCCAAAGGCGATAGATGTCTTAAGCCGAAAATCCTCCCTCCGGCTAGGATTTGGAAGCAAAGTAGCTGCTTCTTTCTGAAGCACTAGAGGAAGAGGAGGAGGAAGGTTGAGTCGTTAAGTGTGGATTGAGTGTGACTCAAGAGGTAGGCCTGGCTCATGCATTCTTTCTCCTCCAGATCCGGGGCTCCCGGTCTCGAGCCTTGCCTGACCGGGCCCTAGTGAACTGTCAGTATAGTTCAGCAACCTTCAGCACAGGTGAGCGCAAGAGAAGGCCTCATGGGGACCGTAAGTCTTGTGAGATGGGGCTGCACCTACGCCAGACCTTCGAGGCAGCCATCCTCACGCAGCTGCATCCACGATCTCAGATTGACATCTATGTGCAGGTGAGCTACCTGCAGCCTCAAACCCCTCCCCCGCCCCCCAGGGGTGGGGCTCAGGGGTATCAGGTGGGCCTGAGATGCTGGAGGTTGAGATGCGGGGCTAATGTCCTGATGCCCCTGCAGGTGCTGCAGGCAGACGGTGGAACCTATGCAGCATGTGTGAATGCAGCCACGCTGGCCGTGATGGACGCTGGGATACCCATGCGGGACTTTGTCTGTGCGTGTTCAGCTGGCTTTGTGGACGGCACAGCACTGGCGGACCTCAGCCATGTGGAGGAAGCAGCTGGAGGGCCCCAGCTAGCCCTGGCCCTGCTGCCAGCCTCGGGCCAGATTGCATTGCTTGAGATGGATTCAAGGCTGCACGAAGACCACTTGGAGCAGGTGCTAGAGGCCGCTGCCCAGGCAGCCCGAGATGTGCACACTCTGCTGGACCGTGTAGTCCGGCAGCATGTGCAGGAGGCTTCTGTCTTACTGGGGGACTGAGTGCCAACCACCCATCTCCAGAATAAAGGCCTATTCCTCTGCTGAACACACCTTACTGTACAGCACTTCAGAGCAGCTCAGAGCCCTGCAGAGCAGGGCATGCACTGATGTCCCTAACTGGAGAGAGCACTTGTGCTGGGAAGAGCAAGAGTGCCCAAGCCCTTACTCACACTAAAGGAACACGCATGTTCACACAGCCCATCTGGGACCTGAGCACAAGGCTGAGGTAGAACTCAGCGGGCTACGGTTGCCCATCATAGAGACGTAAGGCTAGACCAACACATCGGTTCTCAACACGTGGGTCTCAAACCCTTTGGGGGTCAAATATCAGATATCCTGCATACCAGACAGTTACATTAGGATTCATAGCAGTAGTAAAATTACAGTTATGAAGTAGCAATGAAATAAATTCATGGTTGGGGGTCACCACAACATGAGGAACTGTATTAAAGGGTTTGAAGCGTTAGGAAGGTTGAGAACCTCTGGCCTGATGTCTTCTTTCCTCAGGAATCTCCTTGGGCCTTTTCTGCCACTTGGGCTCTAAAAGGATAACAAGCCCTTGTTACCTCTTGGCCATCTGTCCTCAGCTGTGACCCTTACCTCTGCACCCTTTTAGACAAACTGCCTTCATCCACCCGGTTGTCCTCTGGTCACCAACTCACCCAACTATGCCGGTGTCTTGTGGTTGGACAGAAGCAGTATGCTTTCCACTTTGTACTCCACTCACCTCCGTGTGGCCAACGGGAGGGTACCATCTTTCCAGTACCCTTATACCTGACCTTAGTGACCTTGGTTCTGGGTCCACGACTCGGGTGAGCCCACTGTCTTAAGGTTCTTGACATCCCCAGGAATAACTCAATGCCTGATCAGTTCCCATAGGGCCCTTATGTCATACGACACATTCATTCACATCTCGCTTCAGCGGGCATTTGAGTGCTCCACCCACCTGCGTTACACATCGTCTTCTCAGACTCCTGAGAACTTTAAGGCTGGCGCACTACCGCTGCCCTACCTTCAGCTCCGCCAGGGTCCTGCCCTTCCAGAGGCTGTCCGCCAGCCGTTCCCCAGTCCCAGGCTCCGTTTCCGCCCGCTGCCGGGACCACATCCTGCAGCTGTCCAGCCTCCGGCCGCTCGGGCATGCGCAAAGCCCGGTTCCCAGCGATTCCTACCTCGACCATGCGCAATGGCGCGACGGAGCCCGGGACCGGAAGTAAAGGCTGCACAGGGCGCCCGCCGGGTCTGACGGGAGCCGTGCACTCGGAGGTCTCAGGGGGCGGCCGGAGCGGAGCCCCCGCGCCGCCATGGGTCTCCTGTCGGACCCGGTGCGCCGGCGCGCGCTCGCCCGCTTCGTCCTGCGCCTCAACACTCCGCTCTGGTGAGGGCGGCACGGGGCAGGAGGGGGGCACTCCCGGGGACTTGGGCTGTTGCGGGTCCGCTCGTGGCTACTGCTCCAGGGGCTGGCCCCTCTCTGCAGCCGTCACACAGACCCTGAGCTCTGAACTCCAGTCCCGATCCGTTCCTGATACGGCGCCTCGGAGTCTTCATGGCTTGGGCCATCCTATCGACCCCCTGGAGCAAGTGGCGGAAAGCCACGAGCTGGCGACCCTTGTCGGCCTAATTCCCGGGGCCCCTCTGTGCTCTCTCGCAGCGTGCTGAGCTACGTGGCCGGCATCGCCTGGTTTTTAGCGCTGGCTTTCCCGCCGCTAACCCAGCGCACTTACATGTCGGAGAATGCCATGGGCTCCACCATGGTGGAGGAGCAGTTTGTAGGTGGAGAGCGCGCCCGGAACTTTGCCCGGGACTTCGCTGCCCACCGTAGGAAGTCAGGGTGAGTGCCTAGCAGAGGGCTGGGGACTCCGGGGGCGGCCGAGACCAGGGCGCTCTGCTCAGAGCCTATCTTTATGTCTCCAGGGCTCTGCCAGTGGCCTGGCTGGAGAAGTCGATGCGATCCGTAGGGCTAGAGGTCTACACTCAGAGCTTCTCCCGCAAACTGCCCTTCCCGGATGAGACCCACGAGCGCTATGTATTGAGGGAAAGGGGTGTGCCCGGGGCGGGGGGGGGAAGCACCTTAGAAGGGGGTGGTCTGGGCTGGATGTCTTGTTGAAGTGCCCTGGAACCAAGAAACTCAGTGGGAGGGGTGTCTGGAAAACCTTTGGTGGTGGGCGTTGTGGTGCCGGGAAAGAAGGCAGGCTTCAGCCGGTCTTCTGTAGGGTCTACTGAGGCTTTCCCACCAACACTTTGTGCAGATGGTGTCAGGTACCAATGTGTATGGCATCCTCCGGGCACCACGTGCTGCCAGCACCGAGTCCCTGGTACTTACTGTACCCTGTGGTCCAGACTCTACAAATAGCCAGGCCGTGGGGCTGCTGTTGGCACTCGCTGCCCATTTCCGAGGTAGGCTCTGGGGCTCTGGGTCAGGGAGAGTTTGACCAATGCCCCAGGCCCTGCTGACCCTACCTTTGGCTTCCAGGGCAGATTTACTGGGCCAAAGATATAATCTTCCTGGTAACAGAGCATGATCTTCTGGGCACTGAGGCTTGGCTTGAAGCCTACCATGACATTAATGTTACAGGTAGGTGTTGCCCTAGTCTTGCTTGGGTCTCTCGGTGTCAACTAGCCTCACTAGTGCCCCCTAGTGCTCATTGCTTGCTCCTACAGGCATACAGTCGTCTCCCCTGCAGGGAAGGGCTGGAGCCATTCAGGCAGCTGTGGCCCTGGAGCTGAGCAGTGATGTGGTCACCAGCCTCGATGTGACTGTGGAGGGACTCAATGGTCAGCTGCCCAACCTTGATCTGCTCAACCTCTTCCAGACCTTCTGCCAGAAAGGGGGGCTGTTATGTACACTCCAGGGCAAGGTGGGACCACCCGCTTGGGAGCATGGGGCCTATGGTAAGGGGTGAATCTGATCCTGTCCCCATGCCTCCAAAGCTGCAGCCCCAGGACTGGACATCACTGGAAGGGCCACTGCAGGGTCTGCAGACGCTGCTCCTCATGGTCCTGCGGCAGGCCTCGGGCCGGCCCCACGGCCCCCACGGCCTTTTCCTGCGGTACCGAGTGGAGGCCCTCACCCTCCGTGGCATCAATAGCTTCCGCCAATACAAGTATGACTTGATGGCAGTGGGCAAGTAAGTCTCTGGACCCCTTTCCGTGTTGAAGGCACTATCTAGCTGGGGCGAGAGGATGGCTGGTCCTGACCTGACTGTGCTCCTGACAGGGCTCTGGAGGGCATGTTCCGCAAACTCAACCACCTCCTGGAGCGCCTACACCAGTCCTTCTTCTTCTACCTGCTGCCAGCCCTCTCCCGCTTTGTCTCCATTGGCCTCTACATGCCGGCCGCTGGCTTCCTGCTCCTGGTCCTCGGACTCAAGATATCCTCCGTCTTCACTCTCACTGCTCACGGGCGGCCAGCCTCAAATCCCTTACCTATAAGCTGAGGACAGTCCTTCATCCTGCTGTGGGGGTGGGGAAGTGAGCCCATGATCTCCCATCCAATGTCTTGTTGGGGTCCTTGACTTGGTCCATGCCCTGGAGCTGTGGATGCAGTTACATGAGGCTGGAGTGAGCCCCGAAGAGGCTGGGAAGGCGCCTGGCCCTGGGGCTCCAACTTCGGCAACACAGGTAATACCATACTCTTTTGCTGCTAGAGTGGGTTTCTAGAGTCCCCAACAGCGCTTTCTGTTACCATGTGGCCTCAGCTGGAGGGGTTCTCTGAGTCTTTGGGGGGCTCCCCTGTGCTTCTGGCTAACTCCAAGTTCCCGTGTGCTCTGCAGGGCGTGGGCCTGGCCTCCCTTATGGCGCCCCTACTGATCTCTCAGGCCATGGGTTTGGCCCTCTATGCCCTGCCTGTGCTGGGCCAACATATAGCTGCTCAGCATTTCCCAGTGGCTGAAGCTGAGGCCGTCGTGTTGACACTGCTAGCAATCTATGTGGCTGGCCTCGCTCTTCCCCACAACACCCACCGGTGAGTGGCTGGGCTGGACAAGTGGAGGTGCCCCCCCTCCCCCATACTTAGTTGGCTTCTGAACTACCCTTGAACCTACCTTACCTTGCAGAGTGGTCAGCTCACAGGTCCCAGACCGAGGCTGGATGGCGCTGAAGCTGGTGGCCCTGATCTACCTAGCCCTGCAGCTGGGTTGCATTGCTCTCACTAATTTCTCCCTGGGTTTCCTGCTGGCGGCCACCATGGTCCCTGCTGCTGCACTCACCAAGCCCCATGGACCCCGGTATGTGCTGGTCAACCTCTTTTCCCCCAGGACTTTTACCCCTCCCCAGAGCTAACCCTCATTCATTCCATTCTTGGCATTCACCATGGCACATACTTAAATCTTGCCCTTCCACCCAGGCCCCTGTATGCTGCCCTGCTGGTGGTGACAAGTCCAGCAGTCACACTCCTCGGTAGCCTGTTCCTGTGGCGGGGGCTGCAGGAGGTCCCACTGTCTCTAGCAGAGGGCTGGCAGCTCTTCCTGACAGCGTTGGCTCAGGGTGTGCTGGAACACTACACCTATGGAGCCCTCCTCTTCCCAATACTGGCCTTGGGTCTGTACCCCTGCTGGCTGCTTTTCTGGAATGTTCTCTTCTGGAAGTAAGGGATCCCCGAGCCTCCGTTCTACCTCCACCCTGGGAAATAAACAAGAACTCTGTCTCTGTTCTTTGGGGTCCTGGCCCACTGTCTACTCGAAACCCCTAGCAATTTGCTTGGCATTCCTACTCAGCTCTGGAGGCGCCACCCTGGTGCTTCTGTCTTGACGGCTGAAGGGGGAGCCTGGCGTCGTCAACATCTAGAGGAGAGCTTCAGGTGGACTGCGAAGGGGCAAGTGCAGAGGTGCCCCCAGCTGCCCCCAGTCCTGCAGGGTGGGGAGCCAGGCCCAGGTAATTTGCAGCCAGGGCTGGAGGGCCTGACAGGAGCCGAGGCCCTCAGAGACCACACAGTACCATCCGTAGTCTGAGCTGGGAGGACAAAGGAGCTGGAGTCTTAGGAGGCGTGGGGTTTGGGCCAAGGCTAAACTTGAGACTGTTTAGACAAGGCTGTTTCTAGGCAAGGCTAGAACTT